ACTTCTCGGATAGACTTCATTCGAGTAAGTCCACCCCCAGAGCGGCTTACATTCCGCCGCGCAACAGCACCTGGCTCCGGGGGCCTGACAGGTGGTTCACTGGGAATGTTGACAGGGGCCGAAGGATGTGGAATGGCGTAAGACGGACCGTCTGGTTTTTCCTCGTGGCTCAATTCGTTCTCCGCTGCCATCTTGCTTGCTGGTGATGATGGTGGGGACATGCCCTGTCCATCCAGATAAGGAGTGTCAAGGTCAATATCAGGGAAGAAGTCATCGAGATGATCGATAACGCCCTCGACAGGAGGTCTGCTAGCCCAGATGTCGCCTCGGGCAAACGAATCTCTGCGTGGGGGCCGTTCATCTTCCGGCGAAGCAGTCATATCAGAGTGATATGCTTCCGGGGCGCTTGAGTCGCCGCTAGACGCCAAGAAAGTGTCACGGGTAGCACTCGGAGACCGAAAGCTCACAGAGAGTCCTTTGCGTAGTCTATTTTCGGTGTTCAAGGTAAGAGACGGCTTTGCCGCTCTCTTTTGCGATTCAGGTGAGCTGGTCATTGATCCTTTCTCCGTCACAGGTGATTTGGTATTTGCCAATGGTATCGCAAAGAGACCATCATCGGAGTCATCGTCAGAATCATCCTGTGGCAAAGGCGAGCGCTGGAATGAAACTTTGGTTTCCTCAAAGTCGAATTCAGGTCCGTAGGATTTACGGGACTGCAGACCCGGCCTGGGTTCCGGGGGCGAAGTGTTGCCCTTGATTGGTGACGGCACACTGTGTGCCGTTGGTGTGGCTTGACTATCCTGGTATGTTCCCTTCACCTCGTCTATTGCCAGGTGTCAGCGACAGAATCACATATACGTCGTCATCCGAAAGGTTGCCGTAGAAAGGCACCAAAAGGGCTTACCTGAATGATTTGTGGCGGGACTGCTTCCCACATTCATAGTTGGGCTGAAAGAGCCCGCTGCTGGTGGTACTGATGGCATGGGTGTTCCAATAGCGCTAGTGATTCTACCAACACTAGCTAGAGCGGCTCCAAGACCGTGTGACTGCGCAGGAACTTGAACACGAGGACGATCAATGTCCCGTTTCCTTAGAGAATTAACCTTCGTGAGAGTACTTGACTCATGTGGTGCAGTCGGAGGTTTGCGGAGTGGCACCAATGGTTCGGATTTCTTGTCTTCATAAGGCGATATGCGGGGAGAGTCAAAATCAATGACGCCTTCGCGCCTATAGCCGTTTTCGCCGTAGGCATCCTTCCTCGGTTGCGGCATAGGCGGGACCTTCGAGATGCGATAGGCTCGCTGTTTCCGCTCGACCTCGCGCATATGCTCCTCATGACGAGCTAACAAATCCGCCTTTTCAGCGTCAGCTGTTCCACCGTCCGCAGCATGGTCCACGGGAGAAGCTGCAATAGAAGCTTGCGACACGTCACGCGGAAGTTTCGCAGAGGACACCTTCAGCTGTTGCCGTGAAGAAGCTACTTGTGGTGAGGTAGGCTTATTTTGAGTCTGAGGTGAGATCCTGTTCAAGGCATCTTCATCCAGTGGCTTTCTATGCACTTGATGGACAGACGTTGGTGAAGCAGTCGCTTTGTCTGGGATAGAAACTCCCAGCCCCGCAAAGTGAGGGAAGCCATTGGTAGCCAGTTGCATGTGCGATCCACGTACGAATAATTTGAGTGAGCCTAAAAAGTCCGACCTCGACCTCCGACATAGAGCCAGATTGGTGTCGTTCAAAGGTTCGTCATGTTCCGTTTGGCCGGGCTCGGTCAAGAAGATCTGGGCCGCAGTCCAGTCTGATATTCCAAGGCTCTGACAGATTGCAGAACGCAGCGTCTCAACAGAATCCATTTCGGTGATATCCACCAACCGATAATTCCAGCCATCCAGAGTAACAAAAGTCCACTTCTTGGCTTTTTGCGTTTTTTGGCGCAAGACCAGGCGTTCATGATCCGACATGGATGCAGACGATGGGCGTTCACACAGCGACATATCGCTAGTGCTAAAGTTTGGCTTCGCATAAGGGAGGTGGGCACCATTCTGGCGTGTGTTGACAGGGCTCGTTGGCGACTCGAGGAACTGTTCTTCAGGAGAGGGGTGAGTGGAGTCACTTCCTTTGGTTCGCTTCTTGAAAAAGTTCAGAAGACCTGTTCGGTGATCCTTCGGGTATGATGAGGGGGTCTCTCCGCCAGAGTGGCGATTATAGGATTCCTGGGGAGAAGGGCGTACTCCGTTGTCCTGTCTGTAAGACTCATAATACCGACGCCCAGTTAGGGAGTCTGCGCTGTTCCCACGAGAGTGTTCAAATTTGACACTCAAATCACCAGTCGATGAGGATGGCCCCGTTTGCGCAAGGGTGGCATGCTGTGTTGCCGGACTGCCGCTCTTAGGGCTGTCCTCATAGGGCCGAATGGGAGCTTGGAAAGTCCCACCATCGCTAGAAATTGAAGGACTCTGCCTTTGGTGTTCCCCTCCGATGCTAGACAGAACCGCCCTAGAATAGTCTGACCGCGGCCACATAGTGCCGGTCTCGTTATTACCGAGTTCGGATGACGTGGGGTCATGGCTGGCGGGTATGGGCGTGGTGAAAGAGCGCATCTGTGTACTCTGCCTCTGATTGTGGACCAGCTGGGAAGCCTTGAATTTGGGACTGTTTGCGACACTACCTGAGAATGGGCCGGCCGAGCGGGGCTCATGGGTCACCTTCGGGGAGGCTTCGTGCCCTCCGTCAAAAATAGCGTTGGGATGAGAATCTCGACGCCTCTGCATCAAATAGTCCGCATCATAGCTGCCATCCTCGTGGATTTGGCGAATCAATTTCCGCATGCGTTTACCCTCCTCGCGTTCGCGAGTCTGATCCCAGCCTGTGCCGCTCAATTCGCATTGCTTTGCGAGTTGAGGATAAACGACGTTGTGCATCTTACCCAGGTTCGGCCGGCCATTGGAGCCATGTCCCAACTCCAGGAAGTCGGCGCCCTCGATTTCTAGTGCCCTAAAGGTTTCTTGCCAGTCCTTCGAAAAACCATTTCTTGCAAGCCATAGGAGAACTCGGTCGAGTGGCCATTGAACGGCCGCTTCGTTGGGAGACATGCCCCCGAGCAGAGTGCTGCTATTATTGTGACGATGACTAGGCGACTTCGTAAGTTCATTAGTCGGCGCAGGCTGCAGCACTTGATTCTGGGAGGCTGTGGCCGGAAATCCCGACGCCATTGGTTCGTGAGAGCCGTCATTGACTGCTAATGCCGAAGGGAGAGTACGCGAAGACGGTGTGGAAGGTACATTTGGGTCCCGTTTGTATGTGGATGACTCCCCGATGGGATATTCATACGTCTGGGCGGAGGGGAGTCGCTGTCGTTCGACAGATGGCATGGTTCCTGGATTCTCGTAGGTCGGAGCAGAGTGCACGTCAAACGGCGGGATTCCGACCCCCGGTCCGAAGGAGCCCGGTTGCGGGACGTAAGTTGCAGAGGTTCGGGTATCAGAAGAGGAAGGTATCGAGAGGGCAGTGGGACGACCGTAGGGCGATTGATTTGTAGGGATCATAGGAGGAGGCGGCGGGGGAGGTAAGAAGCCTTGGGAGAGTGCCTGCCTGGCCCAGGTCTGTTGCTGCCAGCCCAACGTATTTTGGTGTTGCAGCTGAGGATTGGTGAGTTTGGATGCTCCGTATCCTGCTCCAGGAGGTGGCCCAGGGGGCGGAGGAGGCATGACATTCTGGGATTGGGTTGGGGCGTATCGAGGCGGCGGTGGCGGTAGAGGTATCATATGCGCCTGCGAGGGCTGCGTCGCCGAAGGAGGAGGGACCGGGATGTATTGCTGCTGCCGTTGGCCATCCATCTTGACGGTGCTTGGGTATCACCGTCGCGAAGAAGCGATCTTGATCGGATGCCGAATCGCAGATAGTCTGCACAGAGAATTCTAAGAAGTTCTACTACTTGTTCGGAAGCCCCTCTCTGAGAAAGCGAGATTATGCACGTCACTGAGGCCGAGAAATATAGACCATCAGCGATCAATGTTGGGAGAAAGTCCGCATTCTCAATGCTCCCAGAAAGCCCGGTAATGACCCTAAGCGATTTCGACCAGGTCGCACAGGGAACACAAAGTACTGGCGAGATATTCAGGGGAGGGCAGATAAAGGAGACGGACGCGAGGTATCTCGATGCACGATTGTAATCATGCGCAGCTAGCTAGCCTCCAAATCGGGTACGTAAGCAGAATCGGCAGGTATCTGCGGCCATCGGCTTCGATAGATCGAATCTCGTGAGATTGCGGGCGGGTGGGCGGGCAGAATCGTGCGCACGTTGTTGTGAGTCGAGTGGACAGCACGATCCTTGTGTGGGAAAAGAACTATATTTCAAGAAAGATGAAGAAGTTAGAATTAAGCGACAGCTCCAGGAAATTGAAAATATGCGATGATCCGCCCCCCTGATAATAGGTCTGTCATTAGTTGAAGGGGGAGGAGGAAAGGGAAAGGGCAGGAAAGGACGATGCCGCGGAAGATTGGCGCGGGAAGCTAAAGAACATACCACTAGCAATTTGAAAGAGATTAGTTTCCCACGTCTAAATTAAAAACCACTAGTTGCTCATTAGAATGGTTCCTTGAGATAAATGAAATGTCTTTCCTCAGCAAGCCAGAGAGCCTGCTTGCCATTCACGATGGGGTAAATCAGGCCCGGCCCAGGCTTCGTAGAAGAGGAGCTTTGATGCGCTGGCCGCCTTAGCGCCCCTTCAACGTCCCATCTCGATCACGTGGTGGTCCGATAAGCTGTCGCAGTACGGATACTCCGTACTCAGTAGTCAAAGCACTTTGGCTGGTTCATCATTCTCATTCTCTGCATTCCCCAGCCAACATTCCTTGAGTCTTGGCATTGACTCCCAGAATGCCTTCTGTTCAGCTGCCGAGTCCTGACATCTGGATCTGGGGCCCTTGTCGATGAGACACTGTCAAATCGAATTGGTGAAACAACATGACAGCGAGATCGATCACGTAATCCGGTCACTCACAGGCTCCAAGCCAGGCTGCCCGAAAAGAGTTAGTGCCATCCCACGGATGATTGCTAGAACTATACAAGTTTCAGACGCTCATCTTATGCGCTCCCCCCTTTCAACACCTTCAATACTACCTTCCACGTTGGCTCCAGGGATCAACTACCCACGCCATGAAGAACTAGCGCTGGCTAACTTAACACACTAGCCGGCAATTGCGGTGTAACTCAGGACGGCAAATCTCATTCTTGACTAGTGACACTTGTAATGAATGTCTGACTCCAGGCGTTCTCATGTCTCACGTCGAAACCCACCCCAAGCACTGTTTGGGATGGGTTTGACCTCTTCCTCCGGCCAGCCTAACCGAACTCCCACTCTCCTGGGGCTATCCTCTTCCAGACTCGGGAGCACGTCTGCGATCACAGATGCCGTTCCACCACCCAACCTTCTGACCCATCCGGCCTCTGCTCTCTCTCCTCGAAGAACGGCCGGAAGAGCGCTTGAATGATCTTATCGGGACGATACTGCTCATAATACTCTCCGGTGGCGGGGTCAACCGTGCGACCCGTCACCAGCGGCATGCCCACCAAGATCCGCGAATCCCGCGGCAGGACCTGCGCGAAGATCCGACTGACAGTCTGGGAGGCGGCCTTGGCGATACTCAACGAAGCCACGCTCGGGTCCGGGTGCTTGTCCAGGACACCGCCGGTGACCAGGAGCAAGGGCCACTCGCCCTGCGAGACACCCTCCGCCCGGGCATGTCCCCGGAACCACTGGCCGGCGACCAGGGTCCCGATCGCGGAGACGCGGAAATCCAGCTCCAGCTCCCCGGGCGTGAGGGTCGCGATGGAGGAGTCCGCCACCCGCGCGGCGTTGTAGCTGAGGACGTCGAGGGTCCCCCCGAGCTGGTGCAGACACCAGTCCAGAGCGGCGGTCAAGCTGGCCGGGTCGCCGGCGTCCGCGGTGTGGTGGACCACGGTGACGGCGTGCTTGTCCGGGCCCGCGTAGCGGACCTCCTCGGCGATGGCGGCCAGGCTCCTCTCCGAGCGGGAGATCAGGGCGATGTTCCACCCGAGACTGGCGAGCCACATGGCCAGCGATCGGGACATGGAGGAGCCGACGCCCACGATGATGATGTTGCGGTTCGTGCTGACGCCCATTTTTGGTCTTACGCTGTGTGCCTGCATCCAGAAGACTGGAATTCGCAGTATGGTGCTTGTATCAGTGCAGCAAAGCAGTGGGTGAGGTGATTTGATGCGCGCGAAGAGGCTGACAGAGTGGTGAGGTGAGGGGCAATCTCTACGTTCTGCTTATATCCCATTGACATGGTAGACACCCGTCGACTGAATGCATGATTGCGGGGGAAGGTACTGTACAAAGGACCTCTAATTAAATGTATGATGCCCATAGCGCTCGTAACGCCCTGCCTGTAAGACGGAATACGACCAATAACGTCACCACAGCCTTGGGCATGTTATACAAAGCGGGGAATCCGGACACTCGATCAGGCTGTTCTAGCCCGCATTTTTTGGTTAAAAAGAAAAGAATGCAAGGAGATTCGGTCAGGTTCGGCTTTTGAAGAGGTATGGTTCAGGCATCTCTCCGGACGAAATATACGTAGATGCGAGAAGGCCGCGGAGACCTGGACCGGACTACAAACTTAAAACTGATTTTGGTGATTCTCGAACAACTTGGAACGCCGGCTCCCGATAAGTCACCACCCAGAGGTTCTTCAACTGTTATCCAAACTGTGATAGAAGCCCACCATCTCCAACGTAACCTTTACAATGGAGAAACTAATACTAACTCATCGTGGATTGTTGTCATTATCATTAAATTACATATTGAAAATTCGATGTAACGGAACCACAGCTTTCTGCATGCAATTGGCTCCAGGCTGTGTCTACTGGGTCCTTGAATCGGCTGGATCTTGGTCAGTCTCGTCACACCACGTGAAGCTGCTTGTTCGAATGAAGTTTACTTCTGTTCCAATGCGAACTGACGGATGGTGGAGCGGGAAAGACGGTGGGCGAGTTGCTGGATTGGCGGTTCTTCGTGGTCATTCTCATTACTTGTTCCTCGCAGCAGCCGCTTCGGCGGTGATCTTCAGCGCGGCGGGGGCATCATCTCTGGGCATGTGAAGCTCAACCAACTATGGTGTATGGTCAGTGATTGCGGTGGATTAAGGTCTCTTGGATTTGAATTAAGACTTACCTGCAAGTGCGGAGCCGAGTTGAATTCTTCGTTCGCGAAGAGCTGCTTCAGTTCGTCGCGAGTGGTGACCTTGTGGCCGGTGTACTTGTCCTTGGCTCCGAAGACGGTCGGCAGGGCCTTGTGATCCCAGGGTTGAATGTCGTTGTAGCTCTCGTCCCAGCCATGGATGTATCGTTCAATGGTGTAGCCGTTGTTGCAGATGACGAAACTGGTTGGCTTGTCAGTGTATGTAGCAAACAGCTGGATTGGGAAGCACGCTTACATGATGGGGTTGAGGTTGTTTCGGATCATGGTGCTCAACTCCTGCACCGTAAGCTGGAGACTACCATCGCCAACGAAGAGGACAGTGCGACGATTGCCGAGCTCTTTAGCCGCCAGAGCAGCACCCTGGCAGGCGCCGACCGAGTATCCAATGCTGCCCCAAAGGACTTGGCTGATAGCGGTGACATTGGCGGGGAATCGGGTCTCCCAGATACCGAAGTTCGCCGTACCAGTCTCGGTGATGACAATGTCGTTTTCCTTAAGCCACTGTCCGACCTTGGGCCACAACCACTGGTGAGTAATCTCGGTGGCTGAAGAAGTCTTCTCTTCCTCGGGCAGTGCGTTGGAGAGATGCGGAACCGGCTCGGCATTCACTTTACCCAGCTTCTGGATGACCTTGCGCAAGACCCCCTTCATGTTGATGTTAGGGTATTCGGAGTAACGCACGCGCACGTAGTTGCTGTGGAAATCGATGGTGTTGAGCTGTCCGATACGGTACGTGAATCCACTGGTGTTGAAATCAGACTTGATGGCACCGATGCTCAAGATAAGATCCGAGGATTCGACTTGTTCGCGCACACCTGCGTTCGAACCCGTTCCGGCGTAGACTCCTCCATAGTTGGGTCGCGTCTCGTCCACGGCACCCTTACCCATTGGTGCCACGAACGTGGGCAGACCAGAAGCCTCCATCAGATCGTGAACTTCATCGAGAACACGGTGGCGAATAGCACAGGCATCAACCAGAATGACGGGCTTCTTTGCGGCATGGAGGTATTTCAAAACAACGTCGACCACGTAGTCTTCCTTCTCGGTTTCATTGGCGGGAAGGGACAGATCCAGCTTCGTGTTGAGTCTCTCGCCTTCAACCTGCTTCGTAATCATATCGGTAGGCAGCGTGACGTAGACGGGACGACTGCGGATCCAGCATTCGCGAATGGCGTTGTCAATCAGAGTTGCGACCTCAAGAGTCTCGGTCAGGCGGGCAATTGAGCAGGAGACCCCGGTGTTCATCTTGGTGAAGACGTCGAAGTCGCCGTTGCCGAGAGTGTGATGGAGCAACATTCCATCTTTCTGGGATTGAGAGCTGGGCTGACCCACGATGTGAACGATAGGCACGAACTCAGAGTAAGCGCCAGCAATGGCGTTGAGGGCTGACAGCTCGCCAACTCCAAAGGTAGTGATCAAGGCACTTATACCATTGACTCGGGCATAACCATCCGCAGCGTAACCTGCAACCTTGTTAGTCTGACACCACAAATAATGAAGGTGCGAGTTCCAGGAGAGTAACCATACCAGCATTGAGCTCATTGCAATTACCCACCCAGTTGAGACCGCACTTTGGTAGATAGTCTAGAGCTGCGAGATTGTAGTCGCCTATAGAAGTGCGACGAGATTAGAAGGAGAGCAGGAAGCAAGGCTTGTGGTAGGCAACTCACCGGGAACACCGTGCACTGAGCGGACCCCCACCTCGTGAAGACGGTGGAAGAGATACTCAGCGACAGTGATAGGCTTCTTGAGCTCTCGGGTGACGATCTCGTTAGTTGTCATCGCGAAAGCCAACGAGACGAACAGTAGTTGGAAGGTAATTGAAGATATGAGAAAAAGGTATGAACAGTGTAGGAGAGGGAAGGTTGAATGTTTACGCGGAAGAGGGGGAGCATAAATAGTAGTGGAAGAGTTCTGGCCCTGAGAGTTGGTTGGTTGTACGTCATGAAGATAGCGTGATGTCATGCTGAATGGGCATAGCTATTAGCTGGAAATTCACTCTTTTGTTACCACCCTTTTGACTACAAGTACCGTACTATCCATATCCATATCCACTCTCAGGTGCTTAAACGCCGGGCTACCCGAGACATGACCGCGAGCTGTAGCCATAGGGAATGCAGTTGACCCTGGCACGATGTCGGACCGGAAAAGTCCAGTGGTTCGATGGTAAAGTACGACAAACGGACGGACATACTCGCACGTTGCCAGGTGGTTGCAGTGACCCGTCCGGCCGAGAACAAGCCGTCAATCACTCCACCTTCCAGTGAATGGTAAATGGTTCGAGCCGGAAGTGGAATGACGATCTCGCTCTTGCTCTCCCTGCGCTAGTCCCAAAATGGAATTTTGGATGCCCCGCCGCCTTGATCTTTCCTGCTTATCGCTTTCTCCAGGCAAGAAGTTGATGCATGCATCTAGAATCTCATTATCACGCGTAATTCCGGCGACCAAGGCTCGCTTCCCGCACTGATCCCACCTCTAGAAAGGTGCTTGATTCGTTGGCGGAAGTGATCCTTCGTGAAACACCGACGACAATCCAGTGTCTGACAACTGCGCATGGCTGGAAAGGGAAAACGGTCCATGCCTGATAACATGTCGGCTCAGTCGTCTAAGAAAAGAAAGGTTCGCACCCTTGGAACACATTGCCACCAAAGTCAGCCCATGGACTTCATGATTTTCGTAATCTCCTATCTAACGCACAGCTTAGGGTGGTGGTGGTGGTCAATGGCGCAAGCCAGGCCATAAAGCAGGGATCGAGGGTGGTGATTGGGGTGTTTTTGTGAGTTGCGACATCGGAAAAGAGACCAAGTGTATGTCGGAGGCTGTGGATTTGTTTACACAGGTACGTGTTATCCCGGCCCTGTCGAGCGGGGTCTTCCCCGCTTCTCTATGGCTGGCATCCCTCCCATCTGAGAGCCGTGAACACTGTCTAACATGATCTGTCATTCAGAGCATCGAAGGGACCGAGAAAGTCGACGATGGAGACAAGTCCGACTCAGATGAAGATGACATCGAGGCGATGATCAAAAAGGAGGTCGAAGGGCTGAAGCCCAGCCAAGCCAAGTCTCGTCCGTTCCAAGCAATTCGAATGGACTTACCATGTCGTGCGTTTGACCTCCATATGAAATCGTCCATATCGCCAATTACTGATTCTGCTAGTATCGTTCATTCGATTTGATAAGTCCATTGATCCAGAGCAGATGGTACATCAATTGTGCCTTGATGCGCACGCTCATCCCGAAAAGAAGCGCTCTCGGTACATTCAACGCATGACTCCTGTCAAATCGGTTCGCAAGACTCTCAGTGTCGAACTGGAGTCTTTCGCGCGCGAGGTCCTCAAATCTACCTTTCACTCTGGAGGTCCTCCGAAGAAGGTACGTTGTTGTTGTTGTTGTTGTTGCTGCAGTGGCCCTCGCTCCGAAACCCACGAGAACGTACTAAGCCATGACATCTCCAGTACGCCATCCGGCCAGTCGTAAGAAGCAACAAAAAGTTCAGCAGGGACACAGTAATTAAGACAGTTGCTGATGTCGTTGGCACTGAACACCCCGTTGATCTCAAGAACTATGATATACTCATCAACGTCATGGTTATCCAGGTAAGCCTTGAGAAAACAAATGCACTTCAGGTCCTCATGGTTAACATTCCATGCCACAGAATGTTATTGGTATCGGTGTCGCAGGAAGCGATTATGAGCAGTTGAAACGGTATAATCTGGCCGAACTATATACTCCAACTGCAGCAGCGCAGGCTGCTGAGACTGAGACTTCTGAAGTCTAGAGCCAGCATCGTATCAGATAGGTCTGTTGAACGAACTTGTCCGAAACAGCTCGGACATCTCTCTAGAAACCAATTTTGGAAGAAACAAATGACTATTATTCGAACTACAAGATGGCGTCGCTCATGACAAGTGACTCTTGAAACTGGGGAGATGCTCGGAAATCGCTGGGATGATCCGGACGGATTGAACGGTGAAATCGGACGCCTTACCCGGACTCGTATTCGACGTAAGCTTATGTCTCTAACACGTAGGCCGAAAATCACGGTGATGAGCGATGCAGTCAATACGAGGGGACGCGTCAGGCTGCAGTGACTGCACTGCTTTGACTGATTCATGCTGGCTTAGCTTACAGTCGCTTGGGACTCGTCGAGCACAACAAGTGCGCATACGTCTTATCATCACGGAGTTGGCGCTCTCGGATATATGGGGATCTAATTTCG